TTTGCTCGGGGCAGGAAGGTTTTTTGGGAAAGCCCAGTGGCTTTGATTTTTCCATTCCTCTTCCGTGAACTGGAGCGGAAGGAATGGAAGATGCTGACCAGGCGTCTGCCCAGAGGACGATGCCACCCCTCACCTCTCCTTCGTCTCCCCTGCAGTGCCAGGTCTGGGAACGGTCCCCTTCTCCTTCGCCCCCTCGCTCATCTCTGCAGAGCGCCTGTCGCTCCCGGGCCACCATAAACCGCTGGGCAGGACCCGCTCCGAGCCCCTGCCCCAGAACCCCAAGGCCATCCAGCAGCAACTGGTGTACCAGCAGCATCACACCCAGTTCCTGGAGAGACTCAAGCAGCAGACGCATCTGGGCAAGGTGAGGCACAGAGACCCAGCCCGGGGGGTGCAGGAGGCATGGGGAGAAGGGTGCTGGAAGGGTGCAGGATGGCATCCCTTCCTGCTGGGCGATGTCCAGGGCCAAGCCCTGGCCAGGCACACGAGATGCCACCTTGCCCAGACTGCCAGCTGAGGGTTCTGCTCAGCCTCCCTGGCTCCATCCATCCTGCTCCTGCCCCGAGGTGCCCTGCCACCCACCCTGACCCTCTTGGCCTGGCCCCTGCCACCTCCCTGGCCGCCTCCCTGTGCTCACCCGTGACCCTCCGGCCGCAGCGCATGGCTAAATCCAGCGAGAAGCCCCGTCTGCGGCAGATCCCCTCCTCGGAGGACATGGAGGCAGAGGGGACGCTCCCGGAGCCCGGGGCTGAGAGCGGCGACTTGGCAAGGACACGCGTGGAGCCCACGCGGCCGGGGAGCAGCGTGAAGGAGCCCGAGAGGACGCCGAAGATGCTGCAGCCACAGGAGGAGCTGGTCCTACAGCAGGTAGATAAGGGCTGGCGGGGGTGGGAGAGCCCTGGGGAGGGGTCCGGGCTGCCAGCCTGGAGCAGGAGCCCATGCCCACCAGCAAGGAGCCCGTGGGGAAAAGGGACAATGGCTTTTCTGACTGTCTCAAGAGAGACATCCTTTCCATCCCTTGCTGTCTCCCATTTGAGGCTTTGCACAAACCCAGCAAAGCTGGTGGGTAGCATCCTGAGCCTGGGAGGATTCAGCTCAGACCCCAAGAGCCACCGTGGGTGGGGACACAGGCACCATGGCTGGACCTTCCTCAAGCCTGGGGCAGTGTGCTAGGACAGGGACAAGAGCTGCAGCCACCCTCGGTGTCAGGAAGGCTGGACATTGTCCCCAGTTTGCTGGGCATCGTCCCCAGGTTGCTGGGCATCGTCCTCAGTTTGCTGGGTGTCGTCCCCAGGTGTCTGTGTGTGGGCATCGTCCCCAGTTTGCTGGGCATCGTCCCAGGTGGCTGGGCATTGTCCCCAGGTGTCTGGGCATCGTCCCCAGTTTGCTGGGCATTGTCCCCAGGTGGCTGGGCATCGTCCCCAGGTTGCTGGGCATTGTCCCCAGGTGGCTGGGCATCGTCCCCAGGTGGCTGGGCATCGTCCCCAGTTTGCTGGGTGTCATCCCAGGTGGCTGGGCATCGTCCCCAGATTGCTGGGCATCGTCCCCAGGTGGCTGGGCATCGTCCTCAGGTGGCTGGGCATTGTCCCCAGATTACTGGGCATCGTCCCCAGTTTGCTGGGCGTTGTCCCCAGATTTCCAGTCATCATCCTCCCAAATTTCTGCACCTCGCCACGGGGCTGCCCAGCGCCGCGGGGCTGAGCCTTCAGAGCAGCAGATTCTGCAGGATGTGGCCCAGCTCCTGCAAACCCCCCCAGCATGGAGGGAGCTGTCATATCCAGCCCCTGGGAGGGTGCACACTCTGGTCCCTGCTGTCACCTCTCTCCGGACGCTGTGCTCACCGTCTCCTCTCTCCATCAGGCGTATCTCTGGGATTCCTACCAGCGCGTGCAGCAGCAGCTCCTCAAGCGTCAACCCTTGGCCGACTCCCCCGTGGTCCCCACCATCCACGCGGGGCACAGACCCCTCTCCAGGGCCCAGTCGTCTCCTGCCACCGCCACCATCTCCCTTCCTGCCCAGGATACAGCCTCCAAGCCGCTCTCCCTGCCCGTGCAGGAGCAGCCAGCCAAGCCACACTTCACCACAGGTACAAAGCTGGAAGGGAGGTGGGGATGACCAGGGATGGTTTAGCATCAGTCCCGGTCACTCCTGGACTCAGGAGTGCTCTGGCTGGTTGCAAAAAGAGCAGAGCAAGCCATGAGGGACCCCTTCTCTTTATCTAAGGTGGCTTTTCCCAAGCAGGATTTGCCCATCTGGCCCCTTGGCTGCCAGCCTGGTCCAGCGGTGCCGACAAGGTTCGGCTCTTTGACATATCCAGGGCAGGATTTGCTTCAGGCATATTGAGAAAGAGTTTCCCATGGTTTGAGGGAGGTTTCGGTCAAACCAGATAGTTACGGGCGTTTAGGGTCTCATCCCGCCCCTGAAAAGATGCTGAATTAGGGTCAGAACCATCAAAGGCTGGCTGTCCGGTCCAGTCTCGGGACAGCAGCTCTCCCTGGGCGTTGCAGGGCTGGTTTACGACTCGGTGATGCTCAAACACCAGTGCTCCTGCGGCGACAACAGCAACCACCCGGAGCACGCGGGCAGGATCCAGAGCATCTGGTCCCGTCTGCAGGAGCGAGGGCTGCGCAGCCAGTGCGAGGTGAGCGCGGGACGGGCGCCTGTCCAGGATGGGGATGCTGGGACGAGCAGATCTCCTGTTAATGGTGGGATAGGGTATCCTGCTCCCACCTCCATCCCTGGGGCTCCCAGACCTTCTCAGCCTGTTGCCACCGTTATCCAGGCAGCAAAGATCTCGGCAGAGGGCTTGGATTTGTCTGTTGCTGGTGGTGCTGAGTCAGAGCATCCCGATCTGACCGTCTCCAGCTTGGGATGGCAGCAGCAGCCTGCTCTGCTGGCAGATGGGTGTGGGGAGAGGCGTGATCCCTACTGGAACAGTTTTTCCAGCTCTGGGAACATCGGTGTCTGGTCTAGCTGAACCCATACAAGGCTCTGAAATCATACCAGGGTGGTGCTGGTGTTTTCTGCCCGATCCCTGTCTACAAATGAGGGGGGTGCTCAACTTGAAGGCACGAAGCACGGTGCCGAGCCCTGCAGCTGCCTCCCCAGCTGCGGTGACACGAAGGGTGGCTGCACAGGGACAGCAGGACATGCCACCTCCACGCTCGGAGGCTGGTGTGCTTCGGGGGGGAGAGCCTGTGTGTCCCCCCTGGAGCAGCTCGGTGACAGTCCCTCTGTGCCCCAGTGTCTGCGGGGACGCAAAGCCACCCTGGAGGAGCTGCAGTGCGTCCATACCGAGCGGCACGTCTTCCTCTACGGCACCAACCCCCTCAATCGCCTGAAACTGGACAACGGGAAGCTGGCAGGTGAGTCCCCATCCCCGGGCAGCATTGTCCTCGTCTCCTGCCTGGCGCTGCCCGGCTCTTGGAGCATCCTCAGCCGTGGGGACCGCACCCAGCAGCTCCCCTGGAGCCTGGTCCGAATTCCAGCCCCGCAGCCAGCCTGGACCTCCCTCCCCGTGCCGTGCGCCCTGTCCCCAACCATTCCCCGGTTTCTCAGCCTCAGTGTCCCCTTTCTCCGCAGGGATCCTGTCGCAGCGGATGTTTGTCATGCTGCCCTGCGGAGGGGTGGGGGTAAGTGCTTGGTCTCTTCTCCGGCTGGTTTTCCGTGGGTTTGTTCCTTTCTTCTGGCTCCTCGTGGGCTTGAAGTTGGAGAGGGAGCTCCCGAAGCCTTTGGGCAGCCTGAGGTGGGAGTAATCCATCTGCGGGCAAGATGTCATCGTATCAGAGCTTCCCCCATCCTTGGGATGGTCCTAAGCACCCACCCTCGGAAGGGGGATCCTTTATACCTCCTTACTCTGGGGGACCCAGCACCCCAAAGCCCTCCCAGCCCGTTTCTAAGAGCCGGGGGTGCCAGCTGGTGGGATGCTGGGGAAGCCGCGGTCTCCGTGGAGGGAGGGGAGCGGTGTCGCGGGGCCAACAGCTCGTCCCTTCCCTCCAGACCTCTCCTTTCGCAGCTTGCCGCCCTGGTTTTCTCTCCATTCATTGCGTTCTCCTCTCTTCCTCTCTCCCCCCTGTCTCTGTCCTTCCCTCTCTCTTGCAGGAAGGGTCTCACTCCGTAGCCTTCCTGCTGCCTCTTCTGGTTCTTCTCCTCTCCTTGCCCTCGCTGCTGGGCACCAGCTCTTCTCAGCCCCGTTTTGCGTCTCCTTTCCCCTGCTCTGCCTCCCCCCTCCCTGCCCTCCTCTCCCCCGTGCCCCCAAGGCGGGGGGGCCGGAGCTGCCCCTCTCCCTGGGCAGAGGGGACCCTTTGAGTTCCACACCTGGAGTTGATCAGAAGAATTTTTCCGGCTCTGGCTCAGCCCTTGACGTGCTCCTGATCAAACCAAGATGTTGGGTTAAACAATAAAATAAGATAAAGAAGGTAACGAGCGTTTTCTCCGTCACTCCTTCCAGCCCCCCGGGTGCAGGGGGAGATGCTCCGTGCGGAGCTCGGCTGGGAGTCGGGGGCTGACGGCGGGCGGAGGAGCTGCCACCCTGGCCAGCAGCACCCAGGGACCCGTAGCCAAGCTGGGGAGCTTGCCCCCTTGCATGCGAGCTGGTCCAGCTCCACGCTGCCCTTCATGGGGCATCAACCCCCTGGCCCCAAGCAGGGCAGCTGGTGGAGAGCGTGGGTCCGAGATTTTCCCCACCGGTGCTTCGTCCCCGTCTGAGCGACATCCTTGCTTGCAGGTGGACAGCGATACCATCTGGACCGAGCTCCATTCCTCCAACGCCGCGCGCTGGGCGGCCGGCAGCGTCACCGAGCTGGCCTTCAAGGTGGCCACCCGGGAGCTGAAGGTAGGGTGGCTTCACGGGGACATCCCAGAGC